TCTATCTTTTGGAACACTCACACCTAACAGGCTACTTATTTTGGTTTAGGACTTCATTCTCATACCTATATATTCAGAACACTTTATAAAATGACCTCTGATATTCAATAAACAAAAATATGGTAAAGCTTCTAATGTGAGGTTCTGTGTAATTCTAGGGAACTAAGCCTAATTCCTCTTAAAGCCTATAAATACAATTATGCTCATAAACTCATTTGGAATTTTTTTTACCCTAAAATACTGTGCCCAGCAAAGAAATGAAGCACTGGTGAACTTTACCATGTTTAAGGCCACAGTGCAGGATCCAGTCCACCTCTCCAAATAACCTGTCTCCTAATGCCTGGACTTCAGTGAGCGCGCGCACACACACAGCTTGATTTCTCATCCTTTGGCTAAACTTTGTTAAAAAATTCTTTTCCAAAATGTGGACATAGCTTCTGTAAGAATGACACACAATCTCTGTTAGAAAAGGTCCTCCCGAAATTGAAAAATGACCAGAAACTTCCACTTAAGATAGAGGATGCCAAAATGTGAAGGAAGCTCCTCATTCTCACGTAAGGGATCAAACATTTAGATACTGTAGTAACCTTTTAGAGAAATAGTAGCTAGCCCAACCATCTTTCAGTTCTGTGTTTCGTGATCAGGTAGCTCTGGACAAACGACAGTATTTCAGCCTTCTCTTAAAATTCAAATCTTTTTCCCCATGGAGCCAAAGAATAACCAGTAAAAACTCTGATTCATTATAAAATCATTAAAATATTTCACAATATAAATATTACCTCTTGAGTGGGTTAGTTTATGAATACGTAGCTGCCAGAATATGAAATGCAAGTTATCTTTGGACTCTTTCAAGGTTTATCCTAAAGATCTACACATGCCTGAGAGTAATGTACAGATGTTCACTTAGGTATTGTTAGAAATAGCAAAAAGTAGAGAAAAAGAGAATGAACAGGTTATTATAGAGCATCACACTATGGAATGTTATGACTAAATTATGCAACCAAAAAGAAAAAAATACATCATGAAATTTATAAGGATGTTGCAAAGCCACTTTTCACTCATTTTTTTGTGCTGGGGATTAAATCCAGGACCTCAAGTATGCTAAGCACCCACTCTACCACTGTGCTACACCCACAACCAACTGATTTCCCAGTATTAAAGTTCAGTTTTCCACCAACTCATGTTCACTTACAGGCTTATCCTTCTATTATTCCAGGTCTTTATTACGTTCTCCTCGTCAGTGGATGCCCAGTAAACTCAGCTACCAAAGGGCCAAACCATGGACAGGCCTAAAGGCTCCAGTGAGTCCATTTCCTTCTGGCAGACAGCATCTATTTAGGTCTGAAACCTCCCAGAAGTGTGGCTATCAAGTTATTCCTGTGTCATTCTGTGTTGTGTGGCATGTATTTCTTGCTACAGTGGATCGTGAAACAGCAGCATTCCTAGAACAGAGCAACATTTTGCCTCATTACTCTAGGGAGCAAGTTGGCTGAAACCCAGGGAATTTCCTAAGCTGTGGCAAATGTGAGTACTGCTTTGCTACTGGAAGGGGACAAGAAAATGAACTACCTTGCTTCTTGTTGAATAGCAACCCAAACCCTTTTCTAGCTTTCATGTACTATTAAAGGGTATTTCAAGGGTCAGTTGCAAGTGACAAGCATAAATCTATTATCACAATCGCCAATTACTAGCTAGTGTGTTCACACTTAGGGTTTAAGATTTAAGCTGTTTGATGCGTCCATATCTGCAGTAATACCATAGTGGTATTGAAAAAAAAAAAACCTTTCAAGTACATTGTACCAAGCAGATGTGTGCTCTTATCATAGACCACGTGATGCCCAACAAGGTATTGGTTGGTTGTCATTCAAAAATCACTACTTTCCTCTCTGGTGCAGTTATCAGTATAATGCAAAAACACGAGTATATTGTTTCCCTAGGTAGTGAGGAAAAGAGCTGTTGATGGCTACTATCATACAGGTACTTTTCCTATCTTTTAATCCTTACCCCTGGGGTACACAGAGCACACAAGAGTTCCAGATTTCACTCTAAGAAAATTGACAATTGTCAACATTTTGATGGAAGATCATCAGAATTACAGCAACTAATCAGCAATCGTTTTCAACCTTCACACAACTGAATCAGGATGGAATTAACTATATGCCATGATTTTTAAGAGAACCTAATATTAAAATTTCATTTTCTTTTTTTTTTGAGACAGTCAGTGTAGTTCAGGCTGGCCTCAAACATGCGGCAATCCTCCTGCCTAAGCCTCCCAAGTGCTGGGATTATAGACATGCACCATCACACCTGGCAGTTTCTTCTTGAAGTTAAAAATTCTTAAAACTACTGTGCTGTAACCATCTCTAGACATTAAAATAGTTCCTTATTAAAATAGTGCTTTTTCAATTAGTCATTTTCAGCCAGTGTGGTGAACACATGCCTATAATCCTAGCAATGTGGGAGGCCAAAGCAGAAGGATTACAAGGTCAAGGCCAGCATGGGCAACTTGGCAAGGCCCTGTCTCAAACTTTAAAAAACTAAGAGCTGGGAATGTAGCTCAGGCAATGACCCTGTGTTCAACCCACAATACTCCAAAATATAAAATTTAAGTCATTTCCACGTTTTAACAAGATTTTGCACTGAATTATCTTAAGTAATTGGCTTACTTGAATTTTGGACTCGAAGTATCAAGGTTCTGGGGGATACTGCCTGGACACTACACAGCTCATTAGTTCTCAGATTTGAAAGGATTTTTTATCATTTCTGTCAGGATCTGAAGCCTGGTTATACAATTAACTCTAAGCCACTTTCTCCATTCTCAACATCTTAGACAGTTCCCATGACACACCCACAGAAGTTAGAAAGGTCCCTTGAGGCAGAATTTTTAACTGGATTAGACTTAGCAGTACATGTTTGACATCCGTGCTTCCACAATAGTAAACTTCCATCTGAATCAGATGAGCAAATGATCTTTCATTTCCCTTAACTAAAAATCTGATAATTTTTGAAACTGCAGCCGTTCAATTGAGGTTCCTCATTTGGCTTAGAAGACATATCTTTGATTTATAATCACCAACCCTGATTTTCACTTAAATGTGTCCTTTTTTTTTGGAGACAGGGTCTATGCAGTTCAGGCTGGCCTTCCTGGATCCTCTTGCCTCAGCCTCCCTAGGGCTGAGATTACAGCTGTGTACTACCACACCCAGCTCACTTACATGTCTTGCCTTAGAAAAATTTTAAGGCCCTGAAAGTAAAATTAGTTTTTTCATTTATATATATAGGATCTTTCTGAGCTCATTTGGAATGTTTTGACAAAACCTGTTTTTATCAGCCCATTAACCTATTTATAAGCATAAAGTATTTTTGAAAGGAAAAACTTTGCCAGCTCTTATACTTGTTTAAAAGGTGTTGCTAGGAGGTACTGTATTATTGGAAGCAATTGAACAAAATCTTAAATTCTCAAGTGAAAGCCATTTAACTAATATTTAAAACCTCTGCAATTATTAGTTTATTAGTATCATCCAGGACTCAATGTTCAGTATTCCTCCTGAAATTACATAAACAAATGCAAATGGAAAGAACCAAGTCAAAATTATATAACAAAACAGCACTCCATCACAAAAGCGTGTAAAATTACAAGAACGCTATTTTAGAACACTGGCACTTTAAGATAATCTCAAAAACCACAAAATTGCCAAATTGTTCCCTAAACTGCTAAGCAGATAAACATGACTCTAATGAGTTTGGATTTTCTAAACAAAAACTCAAATAGATTGGTTAATTCAAAGATGTGAAGCTCACATTCTTTTGTCATGTCTACTCAAATTGTGAAAGGGCAGACCACAATATAGAAAATCTACCCCTTTCCAATTTGTGGCATAATTTTAAAAGCTGACCCAATTAATTAAAAATACTGTTACTGGAGTTAAGTTTCCTGAGCAGTCCATATTTAGCTAAATGGGTAAAGGCATATACAGCCAGCACTTCCATGGCCTTCACTATGACTGTCAACAAAAAATTTAATATGAGTCTTGTATTTTAAGCTCACGCTTTTGGGGATACATTCTCAGGTCTCCTTTAATGTGGGAAATGCATAATATAACTGCCATTACATGGTAATGGGAGTTAAGAGTCTTCATGTAAAGAGTAGAACATATTTTTCTATCAGTCCTTCAAGGACAGACTTTCAGATTGCTTGATTCTAATAATCCCATGCTGTGAGTAGAACTGGTTACTCTTCACTTTACAAAGGGCTATGTAAAATTTATCAACTGATTGAGATTTTGGAGGGAGTTTTATAGTTTTATATGAAAATGTTCTCAGTTTGACTTTTATTACCCTCATCATGATATGCAGGGTGTGTAGACAGAAGCTTTGCATCCACTAACTATATGAAAAGATAAATACTCTAATAATTCATGTGAACCAAAATGGGCAAAAGCAAAAGACTATAGCTTCCCTTCAAGAAAAATTTCAGACCTATGAAAAGGACAACAATACTAATAAAAAAAATTGTATTTACTTAGAAGCATTCAGAATGTCAACAAAACAGCTGCAACTTTTTTTTTGCAATTACAGAGTGGTATTCAGTTAACAGAACAACATTTCGTATAAGCTGCATCAGAGACAACTGAAGATGAAAAACTACCATCCCCATATATAACTAATTTGTGCTGTGCACCAACAAGAACCTGCTTTAAATTTCCATGCCAATTTACAAGCCCCGTACTGTACCAGGCAAGGTTAGTGGCTATTGAAATACCACCAGGACAGGGCTATCTAAAGACACATT